GCCTATTTAAAAATCTAGATATACCTATTGCTAGTAAAAGCGCTGCTTACATAATCTGTACGTCAGGAACCACTGGACGACAAAAGGCAATAGTGCATAGGGGTCGCTCAGAAATCATATGATCGGTTAGGAGAATGAATCTCGAAAATATCACAATTGATCACTAGCAGGGCGAAGAGAAAGTCAATGTGACTTATCACGTGGTCAAAGTATCTGAAAAGCAGAAAACAAATTCTGAAATGATGCCAGACTCTACCGTCAAGGCATTGAGACACGCTGATGATGGAGCTAATAAAACAATGATGATAGATAGATAATCCTACTAGATTTAAAACACAATAAGCAATACCAAATACATGATTTTTTATCTACTGAAAAAAGTTCTCTTATATATCATCAAATTACGAATCGTTTCTGTTAGCGTCAGTGATGATACATACTGACGTTAAACGAAGATTCAAATAGTCTTTCTTGTCTAACTGACTTAGGACATCAGCCTGGCAAGTAGAAGGTGTAGGTTCGAGTCCCACAAAGGTCATCTTTTCTTCATTCTGTAACATAACATCACTGACACTGCTTGCCCTTGCGTTCTATACATATAAGAGCTAACAGTTTGGAGATGCATTCTTTAGCTTTTATAATATGTTAGAAAAAGAAGTAGAAAACCTAAAATATCTTTTTAAAAGTGTATCTGTGTGATTTACTTTAGGATGCATATAAATTACTGAATGCTGAATGAAGACAAACTAAGAAAAACAATGTACTATTTTAGCAAAAACTTGAGAAATATTCTACGAAAGACAGAATTACTGTAGCGAAGAATACTTTATTAATATGACAAGAGAATTAAATATTAATTTACCCATAAATTCTAATAATATTATTTTTGAAGATATAGATATATCTTCTACATCGTCTGCTACAACAACAACTTATTCTTCTATTACAAATAATGCTGATAATAATCCAACAATGAAATAATGCGAGAGTCATTGAATTAGAAAAGAAAGTACATTCTCGTTCATGTGGTGTTGCAAAAAAAACGAACAGTTCATGATTTAAATGAAATCAATAAACATGTAACATCAATCCTTGAGCGTAAATCAACAGGTTTATTAACAACTAAAAATGAATAACAGTTGTATATATTACTCAACATAAAAGAAATTAAAAAGCAAACCGACTCGAATGCCTTCGAAATCATGACCATGTTCAAAAGTATTTGAGAGATAAATGAAAGAAAAAAAAATAATGAGCGTTGGCAAACCTCATCTTCGTACCGCTCGTGTTTTAAAAGAAAATATTTCGAACAAGTGATTGTACTTTTTATATTGCAACATTTTATTGCTGAAATGAACCAAAATAAAGTAGGGCAAAGAACACAAATAATGAAAATAAACGATGTGAAAAAAGACTGCTTTTCACGAGAATTTGGTATCTAAGGTGGGGGAACCTGTCCCAAGTCACTCAAATAGAAGCCAATGTCCCAAAACATCACGATTGATCATAAGGGGCGGGGATGAGGGATCCAAAATGAGCACAAAAAGTGACCAAGTGATTTCCGAAGGATACTATACTCATGAGAGCTTCGCTGTTGGCATTGGAGCGATGATTAATTGGGATGTGAAATTTTACAAAGACTACGACAAAGTTTTGCAAGTAGCTGCATGCT